CGCCGCGCCTTCGAGGGCCTGCGGCTGCGCTTCGAGAAGCAGCCGTCGGAGGAGGACGAGTGGGCCGTGCCCGCCAGCCCGCCCAGCCCCGAGGCCGGCGCCATCCGCTGCGCCTCCTTCTGCGCCGGCTTCCCGATCCCGGAGTCGCCGGCCGCCTACAGCCCCGCCGAGCACGCGCAGTCCTGGCCGTCCATCAACGTGAGTGGGCAGAGGCACCCCACGGTGCGCGCGCGTGTGCGCACGGACCCAGCCCTCAGAGGAGGGGCGCCCGGCCTCCGCCCCTCGGGGGCGCACCCCCAGGCAGGGCACCTGCTCCATGCACTCCTCTGCTGCAGGATAGACCCCTGCCTTTGCGCCCTCGTCCTCGGGCCTGCGCCCCTGGGACTCTCATCAGATGCTGCCCTTAAGGCGGTGGTGCTCAGAGACAGTCCTGGCTCTGGCTTCCAGTCCATGCCCGGGACCTGGGATGGGCCATCCTCTCCGATCCTCAGTCTCCTCATCTGCAGAGTGGCTCCATTATCTACTCCGCTTAGCGGGTGCTTAGGAGGAGGCATGAACCGGAAGTGGGCTGCTCCATACCAGTCTCCCGTACACTGGGCTGGCAGAGGGACAGGCCTGCCCACCTGGTGTCGTCCTGCAGGCCTCAGAGCCCCGCTCTTTTCTGTGTGTGCCAGAGGATAACCCTGTCAGGTCTCCAGCACCTCAGGGCAACAGTGAACTTCCTGAATATCCCCCTGCCCCCTAGAGGAAACACAATATATTCCAGAGCCAGACAGAGCATTTTGGGGGGTTGCATGCTGTCGGGGTGGCCCCTTGCCCTGGGTGCCCCAGAGCTGTCTGAAGTCTCTCTGGGACCTTGTGTAGGTGCCGGCTTCCCTCACTCCTGCAGGCACCCAGGAAGGCCGAGTGGTGACTTGTGCACACCTTCTGGGGACCCCATACCCCGGGGTGGGGGAGGATGGTGCTGGGGAAACAGTGCCCAGACCCCTGCTGTGTGCTGCAGACCCGCCCCCCTGCTGGGGCAGGGTGGCAAAGATGTGGGGACCGGGGACCCTAAGTGACTTCCTTCTCTGCCCACAGCTGCTGATGGAGACGGTGGGCTCCGACATCCGCAGCTGCCCCCTCTGCCAGCTGGGCTTCCCCGTTGGGTACCCAGACGATGCCCTCATCAAACACATTGACTCTCACCTGGAGAACAGCAAGATCTAGGCGCCTCCCCCGGCTGGCCGTCTGTGTCTTCGCCCCTCATTCCACTCACCTTGAATGCTGCATGAATCTCGCGGGGGGCCCCTGCCCCTCGCAACCCCCAGATACCTCCACTAGCTACCGAGTGGACATGTGTGCCGTCTTCCCTGGTCCAGGCACACTCAGCTCTGATCTTGCCTGGGGGCTCTCCTAGCTTCCTGTTCCTGCTGGGGAAGAGGGGAGCGGGCCGAGAGGGAGGAGTGACGCCCCAGCAGCACCCTCTCCCTTTGCTCTCAAACAGGGTTGGATCCCAGGTGTCTAGTGCTTGGGGAGAGGAGGGGCCGGATGATTCCAGGCGCTCCCTGAGGCCCGCAGACGCCCCCCTTCCCCAGCCTGGCTCTGTCCAGGGCGCACCTCCCCGTGGGGTCCCAGAGGCCGCCCCAGCAGATGCCAGTTCCTCTGTCCCTCGGCCCCAGACGGGAGGCTCGTGGCACGGGGGACGAGGCGGCGACGTCCTGCAGGCCGACCCTGTTCCCTCCACCCACCCTGGGGAGCGGCACAGGTGGGCGAGCAGAGCAGGACCCAGCCCAAAGAGGCTGCCAGGGGTCGTGCCGGCCTCCCGGGCACCCGCCCTCCTGCACCTCCGCATGGGGCGCAGTTGGTCAAGGCAGGTGCCCCCTCCACTCTTCCCCACCAGAGCCTGCTGGGACCCGGCCTCTGTGTGCCGGGTGGGTGTCATCAGCCCCTGCACCCTGGGCCGGGACCCCAGAACCGGCCCAGGGTGCTGTGGAGGTCAACTTCAAAAGAGCTAACCCCCTTCCCGCACCCCGCGGACCCACATTCCCTCTGTGAAATCTACCTCAGAGTCGTACCCTCAGAAGGGTGGGAGCAGGAGGCCGGGGGCCCAGGGCCGAGGCGGGGAGCCTCCTGCCAGGGAGCCTGATGTCCACACCAAATGCACCCCTCCGCTGCGAGCCTCCCCCAGGCCTCGGCCCGGGCTGGCGGGCGGCAGTGGCCACTACCGCCTGCGCATGCTCCGTTCTGATCCAAATCTTCCAGGCCTCCCGCCCCGCGCCCGCCCCTCGGCGCCGGAGTGAAGGGGTGTGGCGGGCGGGGAAGGGGCCGCCGACTCCAGAGACATGCACGCTGTGCCCTGAGTGTTCCCCCGGGAGGGGACATGGGGAAGGGGGCCTGGAGAGGGGCGGGGCCGTGCCCTCTGAACCAGTCGGAGTCCGAATAAAACTTACCTGTTCCATCTGCGCTCAGCCTGCGGCGCCTCCGTGGCTGGGACGGGAAGGGGCGCGGCGCTTGGGACCAGGAGGTGGTGAACATGGTCTCAGAACAATAGCCGTGCGGCTGGCAAGCAGAGGACACGTGGGACATCCTCATTCACAGCTGGACATGTGGGCAGGTGACCTGCGTGCGGAATTCATGTAGAGCACGTATGAAGCAGCCACCTGCTCCAACAGGTGACAGTGACTTTTCTTTCTTTGCTGCTTTTTTGCAGTACTGGGATTGAACCCAGGGCCTTTGCACTGAGCAACATCTCCAGCTGTTTCTTTATTTCAAATTTTGAGTCAGGGTCTCACTAAATTGCTAAGTTGCCCAGGCTGGGCTCAAACTTGCCATTCTCCTGCCTCAGCCTCGCAGAGTGCTGGGGTTGCAGGTGTGGTTTAAACGGTGGCAGGGACTTGAACCTCCCCCCCAACACCCTGCTCTGGCCCGTAGAGGCCCTAAGCTTGCAGGGCCTCGGTTCTCTGTGGGCCGTTTCTTCAGGGACCAATCCCTGCGGGGCAGGGCGCGCGAGGTCTTGAGGAGGAAGAACGTGGTGATGCTCACAGGTTAAGAACATGGGAGGGGCAGCTCCGGGCTCAGCTGCCGCCTCAGACATCCCACAGCTGGGAGGTCAGAGCTGGGTCATGAACTCGTGACTTCTGGCCCTGCCGGGGGCTGTGCCCTCTGCTCACAGGGCCTGGGCGCCTTATTCGCCGGCTCTGGGTGCTACCGTGAATCTCCATGCTGCCCTTTTGTGGCCAGGGCTTCACCTAGAAACCATTCAGGGATTGGGGAGGCTGGGGGCGTAGCTCTGTGCAGAGCACTCGCCTCCCCGGCGCCGCAAGAAAAGAAGGAAGGGCCAGGGCAGCTGCTCGGGACAGCGTGAGGTCCAGCTCCGGGCAGAGACTAATGTCCCTCCCCATTCTGTGCCCAGTCGCACCCCGCCCCCATGCAGTGGACAACCAGCGTCCACAGCCAAGCCCTGAGTGCCGGCCCTGGTGGGACCAGCCGTCCCTCGGGGGTCTGGGCTCGTAGGCGTGGGAGAGGTCCAGCCTGTGCCCAGTGGGTGTGCTGGGGTCCCCTGCGGTTCCCCCGCTTCCCTCCTTTCCCGGAAGGCCGAAGCACGCAGGTTCTTGGGCCCGGCTCCCGGGGCTCTCCGGGAGCATTTGTTGAGTGGCGGGCGTGGGCCACGCGCATCAGAAAGGTCTTGGCCCTGGAGGAAGGGGCAAAGGGCTGGCTGGGGGCCTGGGGGCCTGACGCCGATCCTGGAAGTGCGCCACGGTGGGGGGAGAACCCGGGGATGCTGCGGTCTGGACATCCCCTGTCACCAGGGTGAGGAGGGTGTGGGCACCGAGGGCGCGGACTTGGCAGCTTGTCTCCTTGATTTTCTAGGGACCTGGGAAAGGGCTCAGGTGCAGGACACAGACGCTGGGGGCTGGGAAGGGGGAGCCGCCACAGCCTTCCATCTGATGTCCCCAAAAGGGGAGGGTGAGGACCTGGGGAGAGCTGGGGCGCCGGCCCGCCCACCCGCCTCCTCTCAGGCGGGACAGACAGTGATGATACAGGACACTTGCTGCTTGCTGCTCTCGGGAGCCAGGAGTGGGCACGAAGGCTGGGAGCGACACACCCGGGGCACCCGGCCTCTCCTCCCAGCGAAGACGCACAGCCAGATGTGGCAGGGGTAGGGGGCAACGTCACAGAGCCCTGGCCTTCTGTGGGTGCGTGACCCCGTGCCGAATCAAAGGCCACGTCCAACATCTGCCGGCTCCGGCCCTTCTTTCCCCAGGGTTGCAGGAGATACTGAGCCATTAGACCCCTGTCCCGGGCCCGTGTCCCCAGGCAGTCCGTGTCAGGGGCCCTGCCCAGGAGGGGGCAGCAGCTCTTCCAGAGCGGGTGGTGCACACACACAAGAAGCTGATCTCGAGCAGAGGGCAGGGTGCGTGGGTGAGGAACACTCGCCCCCTGGTGAAAAGCAGGATGGGGGACGCTCTGAGTGACATCTTTTTACAGGGTGGGGGGACAGGACCGTGTCCTTATACCCTTCTCTCCCTGAGCAATGACAAGAACAGGGCACCTTTTGGTGATCACAGGGAGAATTGGGGTCAGACACGAATGAGAGGTCGGGGGCCAGGGGGTCCCCCCTGGGCAGCTGGAGCTGAGGCCAGAGGGTGGGGGAGACTGAACCGTCCAACACCTCACTGCCCCACCTTCTCCGCTGGGACTCCAGGGAGTCGCCGGGACTATTAGCACTCTGAGACATGCCCGGCTGCCCAGGTACCCAAGATCCAACCCCATCTGCACGCCGCGAGCCGTGCGCTGAACAGCCTCTGGCCGATACCCTCTGGTGCCCGTCGCCCTGCAGCCCAGAGCGAGGGCCTGGGGCACTGGCTGGTCAGTGGCATCCACTGTCTCCGCAAATGCCACGTGGCTCTGTGTTCAAGACCTGGGAGGCCTGGTAGGGCTGAGGCAGCGGGGGCCCAGGGCAAGAGAGAAGTGTGCAGTGAGAACCCGGCCCAGCCGCGGCGTCCGCCGCCCTCTGTGCCCTCTGAGCCCAGGGCAGGGCGACCAGCCGCCTCCTGGCGACGCTCCAGGCCGCTGTGCGCGTGTGGGCAAGGGGCGGGCGGGAGGGGCAGGATGGGTGTCGGCCGGCACCTCGAACATATGCTTATTTGCATTACCACCGACACCCTCCTTGACCAAGAAAATGGGGCCAGAAATAACAAAGGGGGAGGTGGTTCCCTTGGGGGGGTGGCTTCGGGGTGCTCTTTCCCAGCCTCCAACTCTCCCACGGTACTGGGGGCAGAAGGTCACCCCGCAGCTGGCCCCGGGCAGAGGAAGTACGCCCGCTCTTGCACATCCGCCCTCAGGGTGGGCAGACACCCCACTGCAGCCCCCCACTGCCCTCAGCCCCTAACACCCCAGCAGTCCCCAGTGCTCCCCCTGAGCCCACTCTGCCCCACCTGCCTCCGGGAGCCGTGTGGTCCTCTCTGCCACTGTCCAGGTTGTGTCCTGCCTCCCTGGTCAGAGTGGGCATGACCTGGGGGCGGCTTCCAAACCTCCCCCGCCAACCCAGGGAATAGTCCCAACAATAACAGCCGTGTCTGGGATAGATTCTGGAGACCCTGGCCCTAGGGCTGGGTGGTGAGGACAGAGGGGCCTTTTCCCCTGGGGCTCCCAGTGGCCAGAGGCCTCTGTCCACTTTTATTGGGAGGAGGTGTCCCGTGGTCAGGCCTCCCTCGAGGAGGTCCTTGGAGAGAAGGAGCAGGACTGCTCCGCTGGACTTTTCTCGGGGTGCTGGGGGTTGAACCCAGAGCCTCGACGTGCGCCGGGCAGGAACCATACCCCTGGGCTCTACCCCAGCTGGAGTCTTCATCCCCTGCCCTTTCCACAGCCGCCCGAGTTCAGTTTCTGTGCGCTGAATTCGCCGCCGTCCCAGAGGGTAGGGAACAGTGTGCCAGCCACAGCCGGGTAGCCGGGGACAGCGGGCGTGATAGGCCGTGGTGCGGAGGCTCCGTCCCTGGCAGAGGCATCCTGGGACCTGGGGGGGCGAGAGGGTGAGGGGGGCGGCAGAGCAGAAGGGCCTGGCAGGGAAACCAGGTCGCGAGAGACGGCAGGGAGAGCTGTGAAGGCGCTGTGGGAAGGAGCGAACGAGGAGCCGAGAGCTCCCACCCTCCCCCTCCTGAGATGCTATTTTGGGGGAGAGAATATATGCAGTGAGGGCCACGGTGGGGGTGGATGCCAGCTTTGCAGGGGTCAGCTGGGCCACCTGCTGCTGCTGCTGCCACCGTCCCGGCATCTTCATTACCCTGGGACCCCTCCCGGCCTCCCAGGGACAGTTTTGTTACCTTAAGCGAGAGAGCGGAAAACAGACCCGGTAGGTGGCGGCCTCTTGGCACCCTTTGGAAGGTCCCAGGGGCCGCAGACCGAGGGGAATGCTTTTATTTTGATCACTTCCTTGGAATGAGAGGAAGTGGAACAGCCCGAGCACTTCCGGCCTCTGTCTCTGTCCCTCGGCACTCTGCACGCCCCCAGCCTCAAAAGCAGGGCCTGAGCTGGGTGTCGAGATGGCCGCGGCCACTTAGCTGGCCTGGGAGGCCGCACCCTGGATGGAGAAGCTGATCTTGCTCCTTGGGCCAGGGGAGGCAGGCGATGGGGTTTGCCGTTGAGCAGAACCCTCGGTTGGCACAAAAGGAAATTCTTGCACCCCGGTTAGCCCCAGGAGGGCCTCCTGACTCATCCTGGGATGCAGGCCCCAATGCCCCGTGGGTTTCTGTGGTAGCTGGGGGCAGAGGGAGGGCAGGGTGGGTAGAGAGAGCACCCTGGGGATGAGCAGAGACTTTTATTTTCGCTTTTGGAGCTGGCCTGTTTCTATGCCCGAGGCACCCAAAGGAGAGAGGGTTAGCTGCAGCGGGGAGAAGGCCCGACCCTGGCTCCTGAGCACGCCGAAGAAGGAGTGATCTCAGGGTAGACTTTATGTTTTATTTCTGGTTTTATTTTTTTGAGACAGGGTCTCACTATGTAACCCAGGCTGGCCTCCAAGGTGCAGCAATCCTCCTGCCTCGGCCTCCCGGGATTACAGCCATGTGTCACCGTGCCTGGCTAGGTTAGACTTTAGGAAGAACTCTCCTGGGAAGACAGAGGCACATTTCCAAGATGAACGCAGGAACCCTAACCCTGCCCCTGAATGTTCTACAGTGCTCCCTGCACCCCTCTGTGGGGCTGGGGAGTTTGGCCCGGTACCTGGGTGGGAGGGGTAGGATAGAGGAGGGGAGATGAGCTAGGTGGTCCGATGGCTCTGAAGGTCACAGGCAGGAGGGACAGGGTGGGTCTAGGAGGCAGAACTCGAGGTCCCCAAGCCAGACCAGAGGTAGGGATCCGAGTTAGAAGGCCACAGGTCAGGAATCCAGACCATCTCTAGGTCCTGCCTCCCACTTCCAGCCTTACAGACCAGCCTTTCGGGAGCGGGCAGGAAGGAGCCACTC